GTGTTTTTCTCGTTGCCATGTTCCCACCAATAACATAGCTCCATTGTCTGCCTTTAAAAGAACACACAACCCACAATTCCTCAATTCGCTCCAACGAAGGGCTAACGCTGGAAACATCAGCTTTTGTACTCATTATGGAGGCCAATTCACCATTTCAACTTTTTCGATATATCCAAATTATTTCGTTACCCCCACCGACGCAGCCCCAAACAGTTTCTGTAGAAACTATCAGCCTTTATTCATTCATATATATAATGTTACTGATGTTACTATAATATTACAATAGTTTAATGTAGGCTTTGTAACTGAAAAACCCAGCTTGGGAGTTGCAATAAACGTATGTATGTATGTATGTATGTATGTATGTGTGTGTGTGTGTGTATGTATAGGATTCGATCCCCCATTTCCAAGGTCAAAAATCTGATGTTTCATCATTTCTTGGTAAAAAGGTAACTTTAAAAATTTACCAAAAAACTAATCTCTTAGTTATGAGGAGGAAAAGAAAAAAAATGTAACCGTGTGCAGGAATGTTTATTAGTATTTGTTTATATCACCACGTTTTTAGCATACACGAGCACTGCAGTTTACAAGAGAAGTATTTTAACCTATTTTTTTCTCAGTTCGTGAGCGGGCGGTATTCTACAAATCCTGCAATCTGATTGGTTCCAAGAGCGGGTAGTATTCTCCCCATCCAGGCCGCTCACAGCGGGCGGTATCCATTCCACTTGAGTCACTTTGCAGAACATCTTAATAAGGTGGCTTGTACTAGTTTCCTCGCGCGGGGAACAGATAACTCTTGCGTCACGCGCGAGAGCAACATGCAAAAGAAGTGCGAAATTAAAAGACAAAAATTTAAAACAAAGATGGCGGCGCAAGGATTTTTTTCTACTTTTGTGAGAAGTTCACCTAAGAGTGTGTATTTGATGTGTTGAGCAGCCACTGTGAATGCAGGAGATAAAAACTAAAATAAAGAAGACAATTTTTGGAGAAGTAGAGGTTGCTTTGCTTCGCAT